TCTCATACAAATGCGTTCCATAAAAGTGACGACATACAATGCGATGCGAGTAGACAACGTATCGGTAGAGAATGGAACAATTTTCCAAATTAAGAATGAAAAAGAATGGGCAAATAAAGTTTGTGAGGTCCTAAAGCGAATATGCGCAATTTCTAGGACACCAGACGGAAGCAGACGAGATGAGTTGAATATGGAAAGAAGATGTCGCTCAGAAGGGGTGACATCGACACATTGCCTCAGAGCCCTAAATAGGTAGGAGTTGCAAGAATGCAGTGGTAGACGGACACTATTAAGTTAACAGCATCTGAAGAAGAAATGCAAATAGAAACCGCAGGTATAATGCAGAGTCAGAAAAGAAAAGGGTTTATTGAAGAGAAGTGGAACAGCCAACGGCTTACGCGAGGTGCAGTGAACAGATTGCTGAGTCAGCCGATCCTTGATCGGTAATGTCTCAGTAGTCGGAAAACAGGAAACCATTAAGACCAGACTAGAATATCGGCTCATAGAGCTTAAGCCGTAGTATTAGGGTCAGAATGATAACATAGAGCGACCGCAGAAATAGACATGTTAGGAATGAAAGGGGCTTTCACAATAAGCATGAATCATGACCGGTAATGCTCTTGTAGGCAGTGCCTGGATCATTTATATCACATAGGTCTGGGAGAAGTCAGAAGCAATAGGCCATTCAGACAAAACCCGATAAGTCAGCGTGTTCAGTTTTGTTGACTAACTTAAGGAGGGAATAAAACTAGTGAGTGTCGTCAGAAAAGGTCGAGTTCGTATGAAAGTGGCTATATGAATAGCTGGTCAACAAGTCTAGCAAAACTGTTAGGATAAGCGGCACAGCTTGTTGGGTCTGCAGAGCCTAAATCGTTTAACTCTCGAATGCCTGGAAGCAGTCAAAGCAGAAGACTGGGCAGACGAGGCTAGATCAGGGCCTGGCAAGAAGGGTTATCCGTGCATTTGGAGATGGAATTCAAACAGTGAGCGTGGAAAGGAACGCATATGGTCGGGAAGGAAAAGGCTACATTGCAGTAAGGTGGAAAAGCCCGCGAAGTTCTCGCAATGATGTGAAAAGATCGTTGTGACTTCTGTTCCTTGAGCAGCAAGTTCTTAGTATTCGAAAAGCAGGAGACTATTGAGACAAGATTAGAATGTTGGTTCTTTACGTCTAAGACGTATTATTAGGATCGGAATGATAACAGAGGGACGGCAGCAATAGACATGTCAGCAATGAAACAGGATACAATAATAAAGATGAACCATGGCAGGAAATGCGCTTGAGGTGATGGTCACAAAGCATCGGTCGGCAGAGCATTTATCATATAGGTCTTGGTAGCATGGGAGGGGTCAGGAAGCACAAAACGGTTTAGACAAGACCCAAAAGTAAACGCGTTGAGGCTAGGCCGCCAAATTAAGGTTGCAACAAAGTTTTCATGTAGGCCATTAGAGCATGGATGTCATGGAGCAGTGAAAATGTGACAAGACCCAAAACTCAACAGCCAGTTGGTAACAACTGAAGCTGTAAAGTGTGAACCTTTGTCACTTAAGACAGCTAATAGAACTTCTTCCCTACTAAACACTTTTTTCAAGGTACGACCAGTAACTTCAGCATTTGGTTTGTCAGGCATAATTCTCTCCAGCCACTTTAAATAAGTAACCACGACCACAAGTGCACAGTACTTCTGCAGTAATGTTCCACAGTAAGCTATACATAACCTTCGCCAGGGCTCGCATGTCATCAGCTGCGTTGTCCACTTGGACGGCTGCTGTAGAATGTTGTGTTAACAGTTCGAGCAATATGTAGCACTTCGTCGAATATCTGCGCAAGCGTCGAGCTAAGGACTTCATCTTTTCAACACCAAAATGTAAAGCCGTCAGAATTGCTGATCTCAAAGTCAGCCTATGAAGGACACCGTCATTCACATACATTAATCCATCAGGTGTGACACACTACTCATCAGGACGCACATAACACTGGGGAACATCCGTTTCAGAGAAACTGACCATTTTCGTTTGAGACCAGAAATCAAGGACCTGTAAAAATTTCTAGTCTCCTTGATATGGACTGAACGAGGGATTGCAAGTCGCTGGGTGAGTAAACAACTCACTTTAGAATCGACTTTGAATAACGTTGCGTTTCGCGATAGGTAATCGAAGTGGGGCATGAACCAACCAGAGCAGTGAGAGGGCTGGTGAGAGCAAAAGCAACAATGACACTTACCGGATGAGGTAGGCATCAAGCAAAACGCAACTGTTAACGTGTTTTCAAAACATTTTCTCTTTTTTGGGTTTTCCAAACATGTTGCTTTCTTTTTGGGTCTTCAAAAATGTTTGTCGGTTTTGTGGAGTTTTCCAAGGCTTTTGCCGATTTCTCTGGGGTTGTGTACGTTGTTGACCAAAAAGGAAAAGAAAGATGAAAGGAAGACTAATCGTTTAATCGCGCTGGCTAATGAAAGCGCCTACCTGACCTAGTCGGCTTGTGCGCTTCGTAGGAAGGCATCGTCGTAGAAGTTTTACCGGATAGCAGTTTGGAGGAATTGATGAATACGTGGCGGTTGGTTGGTTGGAAAGCGGAGGAACTTAAGTGGAAAATTGTATGGAGGGCGATGCTTGAGGTCAGGGGTGTTGGAAGCAGGTGATTCTTCCATCATAGGCTGGGTTGATTCGTCAGAAGACGAGCAAATGTGTTCATCGAGTGCAGGTTCCACGTGGGCAAGCTTGAGACGGTCGATCGTTACGGCTTCTCGTTTACCGTGACGGTTGATGATAAAGACGCCGTCCTTACGTTGCAGAACTTTGTAGGGACCTTCGTTAGGACGCTCCTGTGGTCTGCGGAGACCACCACGGCGGAGAAAAACAAACGGACAATGCTGCAGGTCTTGTGGAACAAAAAATTTACGTTGTTCTCTAACTTCCGGAAGCATGTAGTGACGCATGTTCGTGGCTAGCTGACGAGCATAATTCGCGTCGTAACAGGGAATTCTGGGACAACCCAAGTAGCAATCGCCAGGTAAAAGTAATGGTTGTTCTTTGGAAGCGCTTGCAACTAGGATATCTTTCATATATGGATAGACGCAACCTCGACCTCTATTGACTAAATTGATGCATTGTTGAAAGGTTTGGGCTGCATTGCAAAGACCGAAGCGCATAGGCAAAAATTTGAAGAGCCCAGATAGGGTACTTATGGCAGCCTTCGGTATATCTTCCTCCGCGACTGGAATCTGGTGCTAAGCGCACACCAGATCGATTTTCGAGAAAACACGGCATCGCATTCTAACCGTGATGTCCCGGATGTGAGGAATAGGATAACGGTCGGGAACGGTAATGTTATTTGAGCGCGTGATAGTCACCACATGGTTGCCAGTCTCTTGACGTTTTGGGCAATATGTGGAGCGGCGACGCCTACGGGGTTTAAGACGAACATACTGTGTCTAGTTCATGCATATGTTCAAAGTATGCGCGAGCAATTTTTAGGTTGTCAGTGGTCATTTGCCTGGCTTTAGAGAAAGCGGGCGGAAATTGGGCAACGATGCGGTATTTTGTAGCATCAGTGGCGGATGGAAAGAGTGCCAATGCACGGAAGACTTGCGGGAACTTGGTATTAAGCATCTGAGCGCTAGGTTAGCTCGACTGGTTGGCGTATACAGGACTGATTGACTCAATGTCGGTCAAAGGCTCGGGGTAGGGCCCCCTAAGACAACCCTCTACTTCGGCCTGGGCAACCGGGTAGTATCACGCCCGCTGACGAATCATGGACTCCACCGCTCACTACTACTACTTGCCATGCCGCTCTTCTGTCTTAACTCAACCGCTCAACGTCCACTCACAGACCACCCCACCTCCCGTCCTTCATCTACATGTACTCTTATGTCTTCTACGGTCACCGTCACAAACGACCCACGTCTCGCAGCTGATGGAAGTAACAGCCAAACTCCCGGTTCTCCATGTCCTGCGATCGCAACCGCCTCTCACTCCACCGAAGCTCCAGCTCTTCTCCGACCTGGTTCTCCATTCATCCTCGCAGCGTTTAATGTTCGAACTTTGATGCAGATCGGACGACAAGCATGTCTGGCCCGTACTCTTGAAACGCTATCGGTAGACATCTGTTGTCTTTCAGAGACCAGATTACAAGACTCTAGCGCCGTCATCAGAATGGCCTCTCCGGTAAACTCTGACGCCAAATACTACTTGCGGCTTTCCGGAGACCCAGAATCTACCGCCACTGGTCAAGCTGGTGTTGGGGTTGTATTAAGTGCCAGGGCTGAATCAGCTCTGCTTGACTGGATCCCAGTCAACAGCCGACTATGTGCAGTCAGACTAAGAGGTTCATGTAACGTAAGCAGGCGTCGAGATGTTAAGCGTGCCTTATTTGTCGTCTCCGCCTACGCCCCTACAGACTGCAGCCCGGATGCAGTTAAAGATAGCTTCTACCAACAACTACATGAACTTCTGCGTTCCTCCAAACGGACGGATATAGTCATTCTTGCCGGGGACTTTAACGCACGGGTTGGCCGCCTTCTACCAAGCGAGCACCACATTGGGGGTAGTTTTGGTCTCGGTGGCAGTCGATCAGACAATGGAGACAGATTACTTGCTCTTTGCTCTGATCATCGCTTGTTTCTTTCGAGCACTAGTTTTCGACACTCGAGGAGACAGACTGCTACCTGGCGCCCGCCCTCACAAACGCAAGAGTGCTCCCAGCTTGACCACATAGCAATCAGCTACAGATGGCGCGGAAGCGTAATGGACTGCCGATCGTACTGGTCAACTTTTCTGGACTCTGATCACGCATTGGTTCGTGCTAAGATTTGCATGCGTTTCGGAGGATCACCTAAGCGCGCCCACTACCGACCGGACGTCGCAAATCTACAAAACGCTGCGGTTTTAACCAGGTACCAAGCCTCACTGTCAACTTTGCTTGGCTCAACTATTGACGGTGATCTCGATTCGCAGTGGGCGCATATCAAAGATGCGTTAGTTTCCGCCAGTATCGACACTTGTGGAGTTACCCGTCACCCACCGAAACATTGGATTTCCGCCGACTCCTTGTCGCTGATGGACAAACGCCGCTTGATCCCATCGGATTCGAGACACGTTGAAGAACGCCAATACCTTGGTCGAGAGTTGCGCAGGAGTCTGCAAATGGACCGCGAAGCTTGGTGGTGTGAACGTGCTAGGGAGATGGAGCTTGCTAGTCTCTGTGGTAATACCAGGAAACTCTTCCATCTCCTTCGAGTCACCGAAGGTGTTCGATCTGGTATAAGTGAAACAATATGCGAAGAGGATGGCACCTTAATCACCAATCTTCAACGACGGTTGGAGCGATGGGCCGAACATTTTGGCTCGCAGTTTTGTTGGCCCCCAGCTCCATCTGCTACCTCTGGCGCTCGCGCTGGGGCCGAGTGGTCTACCCCAACAGACCCTCCCTCTTCCCAGGAAATCGAGCAGGAGCTCCGGCACCTGAAGCGTTATAAAGCTCCCGGCCCTGATGGTCTTCACCCAGCTCTATTTAAAGATGGTGGCGCATCGCTGGTCCGAGAACTCACCGTTTTGTTCTCGAAAATTTGGTCGAAAGAGAAGGTTCCATCATCTTGGGGTGAATCGATAGTCGTACCCATCTTCAAAAAGGGCCTGCGCACAATCTGCTCCAACTACAGAGGAATAAGTTTAGTCCCCGTCGTTTGCAAGCTGCTGGTGTCCATCATACTTCGCAGGCTATCCCCAACACGCGAATCGTTGCAGCGAGAAGAACAAGCTGGGTTTCGCCCTGGTCGCGGCTGCATCGATCAAATCTTCACACTTCGCCAGATCCTCGAGCTCCGCCATGTGTATCAGAGGCCAACGATTGCTGTGTTCCTGGATATCCGTGCTGCCTTCGATTCTGTCGATCGTACAGTACTGTGGCAGTGCCTTCTGAGGAACGGTGTCCCCGAGAAGTTCGTCTCCATACTGCGCGCTCTGTACAGTCTGACCTCGGGCAGGGTTAGGGCTTATGGCATGCTTTCGCCTACCTTTGTGGTCTCCAGTGGAGTTCGACAAGGATGCCCTATCTCTCCGTTCGTATTCAACTTTGCCATTGAGGATGTCCTGAAGAACGCTCTGAGCGATTCGTTGAACGCTGGCGTTGAGCTCCTCCCAGGTAGTCGAGTTGTTGATTTGGATTATGCTGATGATATCGTCTTGCTAGGTGACGATCCACAGGTCGTCCAACTTGCATTAAACCGCTTGACGATTGAAGCATCAAAGTATGGTATGTGCTTTTCGCCATCCAAATGCAAGGCTCTCCTTCAAGACTGGCAGGTGCCTCTGCCTGCACTCACGCTTGCTGGTGAGACACTGGAGGTTGTGGAGAGCTTTGTCTACTTGGGAAGTTGTATCACTGCTGGCGGGGCTGTTGGAGACGAGATTTCGATGCGCATCTCGAAAGCACGCCTCGCTTTTTCTAGGCTGAGGCATTTGTGGCGTCGCCACGACATTCGTCTCTCCATCAAAGGGCGGGTCTATTGTGCAACTGTTCGTGCTGTACTGTTGTACGGATGCGAGACCTGGCCCATTCGTAAAGATGACTTGCGCAGGCTATCCGTCTTCGAGCACCGCTGTCTGCGGTCCATTGCCCGTGTGTGGTGGCAGCACCACGTAAGCAATGTGGAAGTTAGACAGCGTGTCTTGGGACGTGGAAGCCACTCGCTCGAGGAGCTCATCTCACTGCATCAACTGCGGTGGTTGGGACACGTATTGCGCATGCCTGTCCAGCGTTACCCCCGTCGTGCGTTGTTTGCACTTGCTGGACAGGGCTGGAAGAGACGGTCTGGTGGACAGCCTACAACATGGAGAAGCCGCATGAAAAAGTTGACGAAACAATTGGCCTCGGCCGGTTGTTGTCGACTACCTGGTTGGGGTCCGAGAGACGAGGATACTTGCTGGTTGAAAACCTTGGAAGTTATGGCTCAAGATCGATGTCAATGGCGGACGTGTGCATCAGTGTGTTGCGGTGTCCCTTCCTCCTCCCCCTAAAAACGAACAAACTGAAAAAAAAATTTCAAAAACTGTGAGTGGTAAACTTGACAAAAAAAGCATTTCTTGTTGCTCTTTTCTTATTATTCATATTGTTTTCCTATTCAGCCATGATTCCGATGGCACAATATCTGTACCACAGATTGTGTGTAATATATATATATATATATATAAAGTACCTATAGCTGCCAAATATGTTGGACGACCGATCAGACGGCGTTGCTTGGCGACAACCAGCAAATCGATGTGCTGCAGAAAGTCAAGGCCGGGGATTAGCGTCTGGATATTTGCGACGAGAAAGATCCACGTACGAGAACGTCATAGGTTTAAACTAAGCTTGTGCGAGCAATGGCCAAACACACGAATGGTAGTGCCGTTTTCTACGCGTAATTTACTGGTCACCTACTCAACAATGTCATTGGAATCATGTGGGATAACGCTGGCTTCTGCGCCGGTGTCAACGAGATAGCGTACTCACGTACTGCTATCGGTGACGAAGAAAAGGCGACTGGGGCAACCAGCAGCGTCCGTCGCCCCTACGTACTGGTCGGGCCGTTTCCTTGCGTGTCGCGCTGGAAGGAACAGGGCGGGCGACACGATCTGGCCTGGCGAGAAAAGCGCTCATAGTGTCAGCAAAAGATCGACCTAGGTGGAGATTTCGAACGTGAGCTAGGACGAGTGCGATTACGGGAACTATTTCGGTGGTTAGATCCGGACTATGGGAAGTTTTCTAGTTGATCGGTAAATGCCGATACTTGCGCTCTCAGTTCTGCCATCTACGTAGTGGAAGTAGACTGAACCTGAGGAATTTGGAGGTTGGATTTTCAAATACGGTCGGCAATGTCGGAGAGCTAAGAAAGGGACGCATAATTTGCTTACAAGGGGTTACGTATTTCACGTGGCGGATGACAAAGTCACACCTCCTTAAGCAATGATTCCCCAAAAGTGAGGTTTGACTAGAGTTTGCATCTTGTTCAGCTGTGAAGATTTTCGACCGTCTAGTTTGGTTTCTTTAAGGAGCTGCCTAGTGCGAGCGTGGTTTGATACGTCGAATCGCTTTACTATGACAGAATTATGCTTGTCTTATATTTTATGATACTCAGGAAGTACTAAAAAATAGGCGAGATCAATGAAGTTTTGCGGGGAAGCGCTCCAACGGTGCAGTGAAATTTGGCTCCAGCATACCTAACGCCACGTGTCGAAATATTGGTTCTAGCTGAGGAAAGCACGAATTAGGATTAGTCTCTCGGAAAGACGGCATAAAGAGACCGAACCCACTAATCCGATCCTCGGAATCTGGGTGAATGACCTTCATGGTGAAAAATTACGGCGCACATGAGTGAAGCCAAATCGTAAAAAGTAAAGTTAGCATGGGAGACGGAGTAAGTTACCGGATCTGGAAAGAATTATTAGTAACAACCTCACCAAAACGTTTTTTGGTCGATCGTACACGGTATATCCAGTACGAGATTAAACGAATAACCGTGAGCGTATTGGAGAACAAACTAAAAATGCTAGGGAACTTGTTTCTTGAACAGGAGAATTGCTAGCTAAGGCTAAAATTAGGGCACCAGAAGAGAACTAGCTAGTGAGGATGTAGTTGGGCGTCGAGTGCATGGACAGGGCGTTATTCGAAGTCGAGTCGCGCACGTCACAGGGCAATATCATGTGTTTCAACCAAACGGGAACATAGTTCCAAGGAGCAAACCGCTTAATTTCCTAATGCGTAGGAAAACTATAATTTTAGAGTAATTTACAAAGTCATACGGGGAGTCTCCAGGTCACTACACACTAATAGCTTTAATACTGATTAATGTGGAATGCAGCTAAACGTCAGGGAAACAGCAAGAGGACAACTAGCATTATAATGGTTTAACGGACACCTCGCCTTTGGAATGTGTCATTTATACGGATTACTCAAGTATTGCTGGATCGCACCTAGACCCTTAGTCCACGCAAGAAGTGAATAAGAACACACACCGGATGGGACGTGTCAAAAACTGTAACAGAAAGCTTGTAGGTTACACCAGATGAATAAGTCGAAAAGAAACCAATCAGCACAAGGAAAACCGAGTGGACGAATCAGCTATCGGTCAATCGATCTGTATGTGTCTGTGTTTGCGCATCGGCTCAGCGGTTTAGCGGACGACACACGTGTAACATCCCCTTACATGACAGATGGAATCACGGTTGTGAAATGTAACATTCTATCGGCTTAGGTGAGCGGTGCGGTTTCCGAATAGCAATCGGCTGATCGATTTCTTCCGTTTGGTTTTTGTTTGTCTCCTCCAGATCTTCTGGAACCACTTTCTCTTTCCCAGGGTACGGTGTAACTGGGGTGCGGGGCCAGATGAAATCATTGTGCCTGCGTACTGTCTCTCCACTCTCTAGTTGTATTTCGGCCTCCGTTTCTGAGCTCGTAAGCACGGTGCCAGGCTGCCATAACTGCATGTGGTAGTTTCGTGTAAACATCACGTTCCACTATCGACTTCTGGAGCTTAACTGGTGCGCGTCCACTTTCATGCGTACGTTATTGCTGGCAACGCCTGGTCTGACGAGGGTCTGGAAAAAGTAGGTCTAGCCTCGTACGTAGTCGACGCCCAAACATTGCCTCCCCAGGGCTCTTTCCGATAGACTCTAGCGGTGTGTTGCCATATGCGAACAAGAATCGGTCAAGTTTGGTTCGTAACGAGCCATTACGCTGCTTTAGAAGACCAGCTTTCAAGGTTTGGACCGCTCTTTCAGCTAAACCGTTATACGCTGGATGGTACGGTGCGGAAGTCATGTGATGAACGCCGTTGCTCTGCAGGTATTCTTTGAACACAGCACTCGTAAATTGCGGACCGTTGTCAGTGACTAATGTTTTCGGTATGCCATGTGTAGATAGACTAGAGCGTACGCCGTTGATGCTACCTTCTGCAGTGGCGTTTGCAACAACATGCACATCAACCCATTTGGAATAGGCATCTACTAAAAGTGGCAACATTTTTCCTTCGATCGGGCCAAAGTAACTGGCATGGACACGTTCCCATGGGCTGTCGAGAAACTGCCAAGGGTGAATTTGGCCTGTTGGATTATCTCTTTGATATTTTTGGCATGTGTTACAAGTACTCAAAAGTGCTTCGATGTCTCGGTCAATCGCTGCCCACCAGCAGTAGGATCTGGCGAGGGCTTTCATGCGGACAATACCTGGATGTGCATCATGCAATTCT